TGTTTGCTATACATCAAACATCTAATGTAAGGAAAAGATAGCATAAGATGCACATATCTTTAACTGACAGCATTGATGGTTGTTTCTTTTTGTCTGCCATAATAGCTGCCTGTATGTTTAGATAAGGAAAGTGCATTCTTGTGGTTATGGGATGATCAGCACAATAGCAAAATAATCAGACCAATACAAAGATAATCTAGTTTTTCACAATACTTTCACTTAATGGAAAAGGAGGTGAACGTTATACAGTTAATAAATATTCAGCTAGTAGACACTGTATTGCAACAGCAAGGGCTCAGTGGCCTGAAGATGTAACCCTTAGGTATCCTGAGATTGCACCACAGAAATTTAGCAGACAAATAGCTCATTTTTAGAGGTGCCTACTTCAATTTTTTAAAAATTATGACGGGACTGTGGGACTTTTAGGAGGCAAACTACCTGGATTCCCATTTTAAATCCCCACCCAGAAACCCTGAAAAATGACCTGAAATGCAGTCATTTTGCACCTGAAAATCAGCAGCATGATTTGGGGTGATTTTTGTACTTTCAGCACAGCTTTAAGAGTGGAAACAGAAAGAATGAATCCCAGAATTGCCTTGTCCCCATTCCCATCCTTAATTCATTCCAAAACATGAAAAAGCAGACTGAAAAATGTCAGTCCTGCCCCATCCACTAATGTTATTGTGGTCTCCCTCAGATTGTGGTCCTAATCCTTCAGATATTGTCCACCCCTACTCTGTTGGCAGTACATTGTCCGGCTTCATGGTATGGTCATAATTCAGTTTGAATTTGTATGAGTTAAAATGCTTCATGACCATGTTCCAGCATGCCTTCAGCTTTAATTTTCTTCAAAATTTGCCTGCCATGCCATGTATGTCAAAAGGTAATGTATTGTGACAAACTGAAGGAAGATGGAGACAAGAAGAAAATAATATGTTCTATTTATATTTGGGGGAAAGAGGAATATTTTTATCAGTATAATTACTCCTTTTGTAGGCAAAGTGTTTTACTAGTTATTTTCATTTAGGAAGGAAGGAGTTTGATATCATTTAATGATGTTGCTTTGTGATTGTGGAATTGATCTGATGACTTTTCTGAAGAGGATGCATTTGTGGTCCCCATCATCTACATAGCAGCATATTGCCTACCTCTGGTCCAATATCTTTAGTCTTTTCAGAACTAGGCCCAGCTGACCCACTATTTATTTATTTTACTGCCAGATAATGGGCCCCAGTTGTGAATTCTGCTCCCAAAATAGAAGACTGATATTAAACGGAGCAGGGAGAATGCTAGAATCTATTTAAGTCCCACTGAATAAGGAAGACCAAGAAACTTCGGATTTGTATGATTGTAGCAATCCTGATGGAAATGTCATTATTCCTGAGGCTGCTGATCCTTTATCTTTGATCTACATGGGTTTGTCAGACATATTTCCTTTGTCTTAAAATTAATTCTCATAAATTTTCCCATTTAGTTGTCATTTACTCCTGCAATCTTGTAGTTCTTTCTTGTTATGCAGGCCATGAAATTCTAAGTTTGACTATATTAAGAAGGGCTTATCCAGATAGCAAAATTGCCCAACTATACACAATGGTGGATAGTTTAGAAAAAAGGCACAAAATGACCAAGACAAATTAATATTTTCCGAACTATAAGACTCACAAAGTGCAAAGGCAATAAACAGTTGGGACAATGTATCAGCTCTTCTTGAGCTCCCATCTTCCAAGAGAACAATCCAATCTAGTACATTTCCCAAAGGAGAGAGATTCATTTGGTGGGAGAAGCAACTTTTTGTGTGTCTACATCCACTTTTTTTCCAGGAACATCCCTCTTTCATTTCTCAGTATCTCAGAGGCCACTGTGATGCTTACGGTGAATATGAATCTTTCATTCTTGAACATTAGAAACTCAGACATTTCATTTCTTGCAGTTCATGATGGAGGGAGAAGTCCTGTCCGAGACAGTGAAACTGATTCAGGTATGTGAGTAGTCATACTATAAGCTGATTTATACTTGGTTTCTAATAGCCTTTGCAAGGGAATCCTTTAATATTCTAAAGGTTGTCCCTTTACTTTCTCTTGTTTTGTCTCTTCTTCCTCACCTTTAATGGAACTGAATAGTTTATGGTGCCTTTTTTCAATATAGTTTTGGCTTGGGGAGAATAGCCATGAATATTGATCACCCACTTGTCATGTAGTCCAACTTTGCCCAAATGTATTCACATGTACAATTAGCCTGTGGTAGGATCTCACACTGGATGCGGATCATGTGGATGGATACAGAAGTCATAGGTTGAGAGCTGTGCCTGAGTATCCCTGATTTGTTTTGTCCTGACTGATGTTTGGCTGGAAAGAGGAAAAACATGTAGCAGATCGAAAAGGTGGTGATATGTTGCTGCTGCTGCTGCTATGGTACAGTCAGTATGTATGATATTTTATAAACACAAGGATCAGACACTTGCCCCCAAGGCATTTCAGAGTAATTCAGTGAAAGTGAAATAATAGAGGAAGGGGATAGAGGTAGAGATAGAGGAATAAATTTTTATGCACATATGTATGCTTGAGCCCCCTAATCATAAAAGTTCTCTAGGGGGATACAAAGAGAATAAAGATACAATAAAAATAAAAGCTAGCAACAGAGAACATAAGAATTTATATAATAGTTATAGTTATAAAATAAATATTTATTGATTGGATTTGTATTCCACCACGATCAGAAAATACTCTCAGTAAAAATGCAATAAAACATCCATGGTAACAAGATAAAAACAATCCAACCATATCCCACTGTTCCTTACACAACCTGATGGCACCAGCTCATCCTTCCAAGGCTCTCCAAAGTAACTGTTTTTAACACCTTACATGTAGAGAAAGGGGAGATTGAATTCCTGAGTGGAGGCTATTCCAAAGTGTAGGCACACCCACAGTGAAGGTGCCTCTACGAAGTTCTTCCCTACCTCCACTTTCTAAAAATGTGTGGAATCACAAGCTGGTTCTGCAATGTTCAAGTTGAGTGTGTTCAAGTGGGTCAAAATGGGGCAGAAAAGATGGTCCTGTAAGTACTCTACCAAGCCATATAGGTCTTTAAAGTAAAAAACAGCACTTTGAATTACACTTGGAGCTAATAGAAACCAGTGTAGGGCACAGGTATAATGTGTTCATGTTAGTGAGTATCTATCAGTAACTGGGCTCATGTATTCTGGACCAACTCTGAGACCAAGCTTCTGAGTAGTTTTAAAAGGCAATCCCATGTACTGCAATGCAGGAGTCCAAATGAGAGGTGATAAGGATGTAAGTCACTGTCACAACATCCTGGTCACTCCAGGTATGGCTGCAACTGGCACACAAACTGAAGCTAGGCAATACCTCCTTGGCCATGACTTTCACCTGCCCATCTAGCAGTATTGTGACTCCAGGAAGACCCTTGTTCCTTCAGGGCAGTACCATCCAACAAGAGGCAACACCTCAGATATTGAAGAACTTCAATGAACAAATACTAGTTCCATCTTGCTTGGGTTGAATTTCAGCCTTTTTTATCCCATCCAGACCCTCACAGCCTACAGACATTGGGTCAAGATACTGAGAGCATCTCCTGTCTAGCCCACAGTGGTGATGTACAGATGGGTATTTATTGCTGATACCGTACCTATATAATATATAAGGGTTTTCATTACATATGCTAATTACTGTAGTATGTAAGATATAGCTCTGTAATAACAAATAAGTAACAAGTGATTTAGTGTGCTTCTTGAAAGGTCATGATAATGTTCTCTCTTCTAGGTCTGCAAGACAGAGTTCTGAGTTTTCTCAATGAATCAAAGGGCAGTTTTGTGGTCATATCCCCAATGCAGCCTTTGAATCTGATGGAATTTACACTCTGTATGAGGGTTGCAGTAGAGTATTTGGGTGACCGCAAAATAATTCTCTTCTCCTACCATTCTCAAAACGATGAACTGAGGATCTTGCGTGAAGCAATGGGCCACTTTGGTTTACACATAGGGGGTAAAAGTGTGATGTTTGCCCTTCCTGATCTCAGCACTTTGGGGAGCCACGTGTGTGTCACCTGGGAATCAGTATTTGGCCTTACAGCCTTTTGGATGAATGGAAAAAGCAGTATCCGAAAGGTGCATAATATGGGACACATTCTCCAATCAGGTGGCACAGCAATACTTGGACAGGATCAAGGTGCACAAAGTATGTCTGATCAGCAAAAGTGCCGTTTCGTGGGAGAAATAACAGATCTCTACATGTGGGATTATGTACTGAAATCGCGTGATATACAAAAAGTGTTCCAGGCCCATGAGTTTCCCAGAGGAAACATCTTTGACTGGAAAATATTGTCATATAAAATTATAGGCAATGTGAAGGTATTGCCTAAGTACTAACAACTCTGGTGCGTATGCACATAAATATGTATGGAAATACTGTCCTACTGTGTTGGACAGCAAGCAATTAAGCAATACTGGTCTGAAATCTAAGATGTTGAAACGTAACTAGTGAGCATTTTGTTCTTAGTTTGTAACTATTCATGTTGAAAATCCTTGAATTAACCCATTAAAAATATTAAATAAAATTGTCTTATGAATAACAAGTTTGAAAAAGCATATTTTTTCTGTTCATTTGATATGGTCAGCCACAATATAAAAACTAGGATTATATAATCCTTTCTTTTCTTGTAAAAGAAAGCAGGGATTTAAATAACTACCCTATCTCTAACCTTCCCTTTGGAAAGTGGTGGGGCTGCTATTGCAGTGGGCTCTGGAGGATAGATATTACCTGGACCCCTGGCAGGGACATTCCATGGGATGGAAACTGCATTGCTCACTCTCATGGATGATCTTTGACAGGGCTTGGGTGGAAGTGGCATGACCATCTCTGTCCTCCTAGATCTCTTGACAGATTTCAATATTCTCAAACATACTATCCTTCTGGACCACTTGTGAGAGTTGGAAGTTGGAGGCATGGTGTTGCAATGATTCTGCTCCTTCCTGAGTGTGCAGGTCCAGGTATGATTGTTGGGGGAGGAGAGGTTAGATCCCCTGGCACTTCATTTTGGGGTGCCTCAGGGTTCAGTCCTCTCCTCCTATCCTGTTCAACAACTGGGAGAGGTCATCTGCCAGTTTAAGGTGAAGTACTATCAATATACTGATGATACCCAGTTACGTATCTCCACTTGGGCCCATTGGAAGATGCAGCGGAAGACATGTCCTAGTGTCTGGAGGCTATCCCAGTTTGGATGAGGAAAACAGCCTCAGACTCAACCCAAACTCAGAGGCTGACTGATTTCAGACTGTGCCATCTTTGACTCTTGATGGGGCTGTGCTCCCCCAGAACAAGCTTGCAATCTGGGGGTCCTCCTGAACTCATGGCTTATGTTTGAAGAGTAAGTAGAGGTTGTGGCGAGGATGCATCAACCTCCTAAGGTAGGCCAGGTCAAGAAAAAAACACTGCAGGGACTCTAGAAATGCTACTTTATTGTTGTAGAGTATATTAACAGAATCTTAAAAGTGTGTCCAAAACCTTTGCTGCCTCTTTTTAAGGACAAAAGATCAAAGCAGAGCTGTTCCAAGACTCTTTCACACTTTTTACTTTCCCAGGGCTGAGCAATCATTTCACCTCTTCCACCTGCTTCTCAAGGCCAATTCCTCTACAGGATGGCTTTTGCACAGCTTTGGCTGGTGCACCAGTTGCAGCCTTACCTGGAATAGGATGCACTGAAGATCATCATGCCTACATCATCTCTCAATTAGATTACTGTATCTCACTCTACATTGGGGTGCCCTTGAAGACCACCTGGAAACTTCAGCTGGTCCAGAATGCAGTGGTCTTGCTACTATCACATTACCCCTTTGCTGCACAAACTGCATTCATTACCAGTAGGTTTTTGAGTGCAATTCTATGTGCTGGTTGCTACCTATAAATTCTATATGATTCTGTTAATGTAACCTTGCAATAAAGATAGAGTTAGTATTCATAGTTGGGCTTCTTGTCTGGACTATCTCAAAGGGCTAACATCAATCTTGCAAGACTGAAAGTATTTCTTTCCCCTCTCCTTTTACTCTCCAGAAAACTAGGGAGGGTCCCTTCCGCAATGCTTCCCACACACCCCTCCTCCTCCTTCTATGGACTGAGATATCTTTTACATGATGGTTGTCCAGTCTGTGGCTCTTTCTCCTGTCTCCCAAAGTCATTCCCACATGTTGTTGTTGTTTAGTCGTTAAGTCGTGTCCGACTCTTTGTGACCCCATGAACCATATTGCGCCAGGCCTTCCTGTCCTTCACTGCCTCCCTGAGTTTGCTCAGTTTCATGCTCATTGCTTCAGTGATGCTCTCTAACCATCTCATCCTCTGCTGTCCTCTTCTCCTTTTGCCTTCAATCTTTCCCAGCATCAGGGTCTTCTCCAAAGAGATCTCTCTTCGCATTAGGTGACCAAAGTATCTGAGCTTGAGCTTCATTATCGATCCTTCCAATGAGCAATCAGGGTTGATTTCCTTTAAGATTGACTGGTTTGACTAATGGCAGAAAGTGAAGAAGAACTAAAGAGCCTCTTGATGAGGGTGAAAGAGGAGAGTGCAAAAGCTGGCTTGAAAACTTTTTCAGCATTTTGAAAAGTGCTGCACTCAATATGCCAGCAAGTTTGGAAAACGCAACAGTGGCCACGGGATTGGACAAGGTCAGTTTACGTTCCAATTCCAAAGAAGGGCAACGCCAAAGAATGCTCAAACTATCGCACAATTGCACTCATTTCACATGCTAGCAAGGTTATGCTCAAAATCTAATGGCAGAAAGTGAAGAAGAACTAAAGAGCCTCTTGATGAGGGTGAAAGAGGAGAGTGCAAAAGCTGGCTTGAAAACTTTTTCAGCATTTTGAAAAGTGCTGCACTCAATATGCCAGCAAGTTTGGAAAACGCAACAGTGGCCACGGGATTGGACAAGGTCAGTTTACGTTCCAATTCCAAAGAAGGGCAACGCCAAAGAATGCTCAAACTATCGCACAATTGCACTCATTTCACATGCTAGCAAGGTTATGCTCAAAATCTAATGGCAGAAAGTGAAGAAGAACTAAAGAGCCTCTTGATGAGGGTGAAAGAGGAGAGTGCAAAAGCTGGCTTGAAAACTTTTTCAGCATTTTGAAAAGTGCTGCACTCAATATGCCAGCAAGTTTGGAAAACGCAACAGTGGCCACGGGATTGGACAAGGTCAGTTTACGTTCCAATTCCAAAGAAGGGCAACGCCAAAGAATGCTCAAACTATCGCACAATTGCACTCATTTCACATGCTAGCAAGGTTATGCTCAAAATCTGACCTTTTCCAATCCCGTGGCCACTGTTGCGTTTTCCAAACTTGCTGGCATATTGAGTGCAGCACTTTTCAAAATGCTGAAAAAGTTGGGTATTATCCACAAACCCAGCCAGCTCATTGCTTATCCTTAAGCCAAGATCAGTTCTGAACATTAACAAGCTCTCGTCCCAACCCAGATCCACTTCTTCCCTCCTCTGAGAAATTGCTCATTCATTCCTGCTGTTTGTTTTTCTGTGTTTTAGCTACTTAACAATTAATAAACAGATGAATCTGATTATCTCATGACCACTAAATTTGCTCAAGATCCTTTGATGAGCAACTGTTGTCTAAGGTTTTCTGAACATTTGAAAATGTGCAAGAGTGGATACAATGGGTGCTTATATGTCTTTCTGAAAGCTGGATGATTGTCTGGCCTCTGGTGTATCCCAGGCAATCAAATTCAGCATCCCCATGAGACGTTTTTCCTTTCCAAAAGAAGCAGAATTCAAGTAAGCTGGAAGATCGGCTGAGATCATCCTTTATTTTCTGAAAGGATTCTGGCTCAGTCACCTGCCTGGAAGGCATGGAGTCCCTTAAAATTAAGGCATGATGTCACCAGTTATTTCAAGAAAAGGAAGGGTAGAGTCCTCTCCTTGGGAAATGACCACATTTGACTAGAGACAGGAACAGTTTTGTGTGTGTGTGTGTGTAGATGTATTTTAGAAAAAGTGCATACATAGTGTTCACTTATAAAGGTGGTTTCCTGAATCTAACATGAGCTGCCCTTGTCTCCATAGCCAGTGTTCAGTGTCACATCCTTCCGAAGTCTCTAGGGGAAGGACGGTGTGTCGGGGGGGCCAGGAAATGACAGATTTCTGGTCTGATGCAAAGCAGTCCCACTGGAGCAAAGGGGTTGTGGAAAGTATAAATAAAGCTTGTCCCGAAACAGCTTGAGAGGCATTCACGAGAACACTGGTCTGAAGGGAAAACTATGGTAGGTTATTACTTTTTTTTATTTTTTTTGGTCTTTGAAAACTTTTGAACATTTTATTGCAGATACTCCTGTCCTTGCTTTTTATAAAACAATTTACTTTACCTAAAAGGGATGCTAACTTTTAATCCACTTCACACAATTTAATGAGACAAAGTCAGTGATTCTTTTTCTCCTCCTTCTCTTGTGCTTTCTAGTCAGTGTTGACTCATGGTGGCTGCCTGGACTAATCCCTGCAGTTTTCTTGTCCAGATTTTTAGGAGTGGTTTGCCATTGCTTTCTTCCTAGTGCTGAAAAAAGTGACTGGCCCAAGGTCAGCCAGCTAGCTTCGTGCCTAAAGCAGGACTAGAACTCACAGTTCCCCTGTTTTTAGCCTTGTGCCTTAACCACTACCAAACTGGCTCTCAATTATTATTCTACATTATTTTAAACTGTTATTCAAAGGCATCCAGCAAATCTTCTGCAGTGATGGCTTGGGCTACAGTTTACTATCTTGTCAGCTTGGCTGGACAGACAAGGAATAATGGCATTTGGAAGAGGCTGAGTTGGGGAGGGCTAAAATAAGCCATGGAGGTAAATAATACATGGGGATGTGCTGAGAAATATCTAAAGGAGTTTCCCCCCCCCCTTCTACTACAATGGAGGAGCAGAAGAAAATTTAGCATGCAGATAGCAGAAACATAACACGTTTCACTTTTAAAATATGAAATGCAAGGCATGATTATGGTAAGTTAAAGGGTTTTTTTTAACGCTTTGCAGTACAGACCAGGAAAAGATAACAAAAATGAATTATTTCATAACTTGAGAATATGTCATGATGCAGAGGAAATGTATTCATCTAGGAAATCAATCAAATAGCTTTTAAGATTAAATAGGTTTTAGCTAAAAAAATATGTGTGGGATTTTAGATAACAGGGACTTGATAATACCTATTAAGCATTTTGATTGTTAAGAGAATTGTTATAAAAGTTTCTAGTAATGCTATAATTTGTACACTGAGTTAACTATATTAGATATTTGTGTAACTGTTTCTTCTTCTGACCTTTCTCATTTGGTGGATTTTAGGTCCTTTCTTTCTCTATGTTGGCACTCTACAATCAGTTGAAATTATGCTTGGAGAAATGTGAAACGTTACACTGAAATGCTATTTGCCCCAGTATCTATTAGTTAGGCTTGTAAGAAAGAAGGGCAGAAGAGAGTTCCCTTATGTGTGAAATCAAAGACCAAAGGGCAGTGAAAAAACCTTCAAGCAGGGAAATCCTTTTCAAAGAAAAAACCCTCTATATTCATTGTTGACGAAGAGGAAAACTTTATATTTATGTAATGACATATGTTTGCAACTTTTACTCATAAGGTGTCAGAAAAATTAAGAGATTTGGCTCTTCAGAAAATTTATTAAAGCAGCATGGACAATCTGTGCCTCTCAAGACCATTTTTCAACTAAAGTCCTTTCCAATAGTGCTGACAAATTTGAGTGGCATGATTTTTGAAAGTTTCCTCAGTTCTGAGGTAGGAAACATACAAAAACTGTATGTATGACCTAAAATAATCTTGTTGGAGTTTTAGAAGAATGCCCATCCCCAAAGAGAAAATGCTTCATGTTCACATTCAAATAGTACTCCGCCTACTTTGTGACACTGTACTATCCACTGTAATTCTCAGTTTTAAAAAATGCACATGGGCCAAAAAAAACTGGAAGACAAGTAAATAAAGGCAGCATAGAGGTTGATACTGGGGGTAGCACATTGCATGCCCGTATAGTTTTCTGCTGAGTCAAGGATGGGTGGAGAGTACTATAACTATACTATAACTAATAGTGGGGAAAAGTCCTATGTGTCAAATAGAAAGCTGAAGTCTAAAATAAATCACATTTACTTACTTATGGATGTATGTTTCTCTTTCTGGTGGTTTACAAGGGAGTGCAGTAGTTAGATGGCTCTCAAAGAATGCCACAGAAGACCCGTCCATGAAAATGTTCATGGGAAAGCTTGCCAAGCTTTTAGGAATTATTTCTAGAGGGGTACGGCAAAAGGAACAAGAAGTCTTGGAGCAATCAGGAGCCATGGGGCAAGGGCTTGTATCTCACTTTAAAACAGATAGAGAGATACAGTTTTGTAGAATGGGTTAAAAGCAGCGTGCCAACTTGCTGCCCTCTAGGATGGCAACTCTCGTAATTCCTGGGCAGAGCAAACTTCGTTGAGGGTTTCAGATGCATCTGTATATCTCTTGGTCAAAGCATAAGATTGCCTTTCTTAGTGACAATCTTTTTTTTTTCCCCCTGCCTTCCATCAAGATTATGGAGTATGGTATTTTCCCCTCCAGTTTTGATCCTACATGTCGCTTCCACAACACACTTCTGGACCAGCAAAGCCGGCTATGCAACCACATCAAGAAACTCCGACAGATCTCTCAGAGACTCAGTAATTTGGACAGATGTTCTCTCATTGCCCATCTAACAGGGAATTCTTTAAGTGCTGCAGGAGCAATTATGGCCATTGTGGGGCTGTCCTTGAGCCCTGCAACTCTAGGAGCCTCTCTCTTGGCTTCTGGGGTGGGCTTAGGAGTGGCAGCCGCAGGAGGGGCTGTTTCCATGACTTCAGACCTTTCCTTGGTGCTCTGTAACTCCAAGGAGGTGAAAAGAGTAAAAAAGATTGCACTGACCTGTCACTGCCAGATGAAGGAAATGATGAACAGCTTGGAGTTCCTGCACCGCAGTTGGAGCCCCACCGACCCTCTCTTATTGCAGGCTGAGAAAAATGCCTCTATTGCCCTGTATAATTCTGCCTGCTTTGTGGTGTTCTGTGGCCCTCAGGGCTTCCTGGTCCCTGAGCACATGGAAGAGGCGACAAAAGTGAGCCATACCCTGCTTAAGGCAAAAATCCAGAAACTGGCAGAAAACCTAGAAGGCTGCGCAAGACGCATGGATGAAATCTGCAAGCTTTTAGAAAGCAGGAAAGCATGTGCTTGGAGGACAAAAGGATTAGTACACTGATATGGGATCAGTGGTCAGAATGACTCTGCAGTAGCACCAAGTCTTCTTGAAAAACTTCGGTATAAAACACTAAATACTGGTACTGTTACTGTGGATTACAGTTAGGAGTGTATGTACCCAGGAATTTCTCCAGGGTTTCCCTACGACTTGCAACTGCCTCAACCCTACACTTGTATATCCTACTTCATTTTGTTTTTTGCTGATCAACACAACAGGCAGAAATCACGGTTGCACCAGTTGTAGTCTATACTTTCAGCACATTTCAAGGGAAGTGCTTGTCACATAGGACCATACTTGAGTTTTCTAAGGAAGAAAAGTTTCCCAAATGTCTGACTGAATGATAGCACAGTAAGCAGAAGTTTCCTTAATACGTGGAATTTCAATTAATGTTTTACAATAGCAGGAAAAAATAGACGGGAATAATGTTCAAAGCTCTGATAGTAATTGTATTTGATACTCAGAATGCTCAGTTATGATAGGGGTCATGATGGAACCTGCCAGCATAGTGCAAATGTTTGGCAATTCCAAAACCTGTTGAACTGTGAGAATGAGACAGATGAGCAAGGCCTAAATACACTTGAATCTTTCCTTATGATGTTCTTGTAGCAGATGGGAATTTGCCTCGCAAGTGGGGCTAGAACTGAATTATTTGTTTTCTTTTGTTTCTTAACTTTACAATCTTTGCCTCATTTTCTTCCTTGTCATACTGTAGCTATCTTCATGTACTCTTTTCACACATACTCAGGAATGTCATGTATTTTTCTATTTATTTATATGGGGCAATATTATTTAACCCTTTATTTAAACAAATAAGAATACTGTCAACAAAAGATGGAATCAGATATTCTTCATTGTAGCTGAGGCAACACCTTTAAATTGCTTGAAATAATTCTTTGTCAACATTTTCATTCAAAAGTCATAAAAAAAAAGGCAGAACAAACTGGGTTGCAAACCAAGATTTTTTTTCAAAACCCTGTTAGAATTTCATCTGAAGAATTGTTTAGAGATCATCTCCCCATACATTTATATTCAGAAACATCTTACTGGAATGTGCAAAAATAATGTTATTTAACTTTATTTAGGAAAGCCTTTGCAGATTGAGTCTTTTTTGATAAAAACTGTTCTATGCTCACTAATTTCCATGTAAAAAATGATGTTTCTCTTCATTTGAACTGATTCATCTCCAGTTTTGTATCTGTAAAATATTGCTGAACAGAAGGCTGAGAAGAAAAACTAAACCAAAGATGGGGGAAGCTCTCCTCAGAGACGTTTTCACAGTGGCAAAGCCAGTTAGCCAAGTCGTTTTATTTTCTTCCACAAAGGAAAAGGCACGCTGGGATCAAAAGATAACTGAGAAGAGTTGAGTTGCTGTTTCGTAATTGGATAATGAACATGTCCCACGATCCTATTATGTCTGAAATTCATTTAACACACAAGAAATTGTAAGATTCAGCTGCCTTGATGGAACAACTAAGAATAACTTGGGAATGATTTGTGCACATGCTATAGGACTTCTCCCTCACACTTCTATAAGCATTCATGCAAATAAGTAATTTCATAGTAATAGGTTCCCAAATCTGGACAACAGATAGGGTCATCTGAAGATTTGCAGCCCAGATCTGGTATACTACTGTTACTACTATTACTATTACTACTACTACTACTAATAATAATAATAATAATACAAAAAATATATCCCTGCAACTGGATGTCAGTGCTGTGAACTCTTTTTCATGAGCTACTGGAAATTATTCCATGGGGATAATTCCCTGATAAATTGGGGACCAAATTCCCTAAAAAAATGGATGAGAAAAGAGGCAAAAATGACCACAGGTGTGTTACAAGAATGTGAGAAGAATGAGGAAATGTTTTGAGGTATATGTGTAAGCTTAGTTCTCACCCAGATGGTGAGTACTGAGCTATACCACTTTACAGAGCAGGTCTAGGTTTTATATGATTGAATGATCTCTCCTGTCTTCACAAATAATAGCAAAAGCTCTCAACATGACAAAGTTGCCCTAAAATGCCTACCTTATTTAGGCAGGGATTTTACTTTCCTATTGGGGGCATTCAGTCATATGTGTCCAGTGATACAGCTCTGGCTTATCAATAGTGAGAACTAAGCCATAAGGCTGTCAAACCTGAAGATGATGTGATGTTTTTCATTTCTTCATGTATTAGTAAGGGGTGGGAGGAACCTGAGGTTCTCAAGTTCCTAAAGCGATGGCAACGAAGGAATTTAAATGTATGAGAGCCTAAGAATGTGGGTATAAGGAGTGTTTTGTAGAGACGGTATAGCAAATCTGACATATTCTTTGCCTTTTTGTTCTTTGTAGGAGAGGAAAATGTGACCATTATGATCTCTGGGTTATCACAGGCATTTATAAAATCAAGGAATATACTCCACAGAATCCTAAGGCAATAAAAAATACAAAACAAGTATGAAATAATTTTGTATCTGTATTTATATTAATTCTCCCCATTTCTTGAAACATTTACTTCAGAAATAACAACTCCCTAAAAATCTTAATGGATTCAGAACACTCAGAAAAATAATTAAGACAATTAGTAATATTATCTTCATCTTCAAATATACAAATTCAGCAGGAATTATCAGTGAGTGTGGGATAAAGTCCCATATTCATATTATAATCCTAGTTCTTTTAATCTAAGCTCCCTTCTGTTCTTCTACACCTCTTGTTCTGAGCACACAGAGGAAATTATAAACTTAAAACAAAGTTTGTTCTTTTGTCCAAATGCATTGCATTATGGTTTATTCAAACCACAGTTAATCAAATAAGATCCCAAACAATGCTCTGACTGCAGTTTATGCAAATAATACTTTGTCACATACTAAACAGAAACTTCTAATAGTAACACTACTACGGCTGAAATACAGGTCCAGAATGCTGTGTTCTCGGGGACTCCTAGGACTAATGGATCTGAATGGCAAAACTCTGGATGACTACTGTACTAGATAACAGCAGAGAGCTATTGTTTTCGGCATCTCTTTGCTGCTGTCTGGATTCTTGCAACCCAAATCTCATAGCCCTAGGACAGTGTTGTCCAAACTTGGCCACTTTAAGATGAGTGGACTTCAACCCCCCCAAAAACCCCCACCCCCCCCAACCGCGCGCGCGGGGGGACGTGGGGGGGAGGGGTCCGCTAAGGGAGGAAGACAAGGAC